TCAGAAACTTGGCAACCTCAATTCCCCTAGATGTGTCCAAACACTCAGATTAGATTTAAGTCTCTTAATAATGAAACATTAGGCTGGGGCTGACCTTTACTTTTACTGCAGGAAATGCATACTAGCTATTCTATAAGTATCAAGAAGTTAATTCTAGAATATAAAACCTTTAAACAGGGTAGGCTGGGTGGCTCAGTGGTTTAGAGCCACCTTCAGTCCAGGGCCTGATCCTGGAGACCCAGAATCGAGTCCCACATCAGGCTCCCTGCATGGAGCCTGCTTCTCCCTCTGCCTGTGTCTCTGCCCCCCTCACCCCTGTGTCTCTCATGAATAAATAAATAAAATCTTAAAAAAAAGAAAACCTTTAAACAGCTCTAGCTTATGCTTGTGTTGGCAACATGTGATCTCAATGAAAAGTGTAAAAAAGCAGACTGCCAGATGTTTTGACTACATTATACATCACATCTTAATGTTTCCTAGGTTGGCAGTTGTAATACTAGAGATTCAGGACTTTAAAATTAACAAGTTCTGTTCTAACCTTTTCTTAATCCTTACTTTAAAAATGTCTTATATTCAAAACATTCATATGCTGGAATTTTTTCTTTAAAACACGTGTGTTTAGGAAGAATGTTTATAAATCATAAACAAATTCTAGGAGGAACATACTGTGTTTCTCGCAGTAAGTATATTATATAAACTATTGGCCTGTATGTCTGGGGAATGATATTTTCAGGTTAATTAAATATTCTGCAATATTATACCATAAGTATTATAATTTTTAAGTGTTAGGAGCTCAGTATTACTCTCATATTAAGCATGATTTGCTTGTAAATATATCAGAAGGCATTTCAAAATCTTGCTCGAGCTTGTGTCATAATTTTCAGCACCAGCTCCACTGTACATGAATTTCCTTCAGGAGGGTTCTAGTTAGTACCATTTCGGAAAATAAATTCATTCAGTAAATGAGCATTAATGCTGATTATTATTCATAATAAGACTTTGAGGAGGAGGGGCAGGTGCCATTTGAAATGGGAGTAGTGGAGAACACAGCAGCTACACCTGACCAAAACTCCAGCCTCAGGCCAGCATTACCACATTCTCCTTAAAACATCTCTACCAAAACTAATCTTCGAAGACACTACTCTGAAAATGCAAATACCACTGCAAGGTGTGTGTTTGTGTGTGTGTGTGTATGTAGTGTCCTAGTATTAACTGTATCTTTGTTAGCAAAAGGTTGATAAAGGAAATGACACAGGATAGAAAAGGGTGGCATCAAGAAGAAAATGGATCTCTTAGAGAAGTGGAAATACCCATGACAAATATTACTTATTTTAAAGTTTTGTTTTAGGGCTTCAGTTATGACAAACTACTGTTATAGATGTTGAAACAACATTTTATAACCTTATCTTGGATTGGCTTCTTATATTCGTTGTTTCCAGTGAACCTAAATGAATTCCCAGTGGCCAGATCTAATGTTTTAACATAATTCATGTTACTCAAGCTGCTTCCCTTCATGATGATTTTTTTTTAAAGCTAAGTAAAGTCATAAATAAAGACAAACACAAAATGCCTTTGGGGGAAGACAAATAAAATGTCTACTTTTAGAGCTGTTAATAATCTCACAATTTTTGTCACTTACATTTTCTTAAGTTAATATCTTTTGAAGCCAGAGAGTGTAGAATGTTTCCTCAGCCAGCTTAAATAAATTTTAAGTCTCATTTTGAATGCCCATAATGGAGATCAGTTAAAAATACAAGTAGATATTTTGTTTGATTGCTTTCTGATATAACTTTCTTTTATAACAAAAAGCATTACTGAGGATGCTTCATTAAAAATAAAGAAACAAATCTTAGTTCAAAATTGAAATCACATTGCTCTATATTTATACTATCCCAGGAAAAAAAAATTTGGCTAAGGAAATATTCAGAGACACATAATTATTTTGCTCTAATTAGCATTGTTAATTCACATGCACATGTACAAACAAGCATTGCAGTGCAGAGCATACAGAGGTATTAAAGGGATTAAGACTACGGGTTATCTGATAGGAATAGAGAGTTTGGTGTGAACTGAATCTAAACTATATTTAATCGCCATTGTTCCCCTTGGTCAAAAGGGAAGAAAAAAAGTAAATCTAAAACAGTCACTAAAGAAACAACCTTTGCTTAAGTTGCTTGGGTGATAAATTCCCCTCGGAAATAAGTAGTGAGGCAGTTGGAAAACAGCACAACTCTGGGGCCCTGCTCCTAAGAAATATACCTGTAGCATTTACTACAAAACCAAGAAATCTATGCTGCTCTGCTCTGCTCTATATGTAATGGATGTCAAATTTTCAAATGAACTAGCAGAGTGTGTTTTAGAAAGTCTGTGGCTTCTACAGTGAATTCAGGTTCTATGGCAAACTGATGAATTAGCTAGATGTAAAAGGCTTAATAGACTTTATTTACAAAATCATTATGTTGTAATAACAAAGGCACTACAGGAGTTTAAATTAGACTATTTTTTACGGCTTCTTGTGAACATCTTCTCCACTCCAGACTGCCGATTTACAAAACATTTTATTTTAGAATCTCTTGGATACAGAAAAGAGAAGAATTAAAAGGCATAGCAAATGACTGCAAATATTTTGTTTCTCTCTCATTTTAAGGTATCAGCCAAGTAACACCAGTGTATCAAATGAACTCTCAAGTTGGCAGAAGTGTCAACAAATCTGCTCGGCCCTGGTCCACTTTACCAAATATGTATTCAGATTTTTAATAACAAATATTGTGGAATGTTTGGGCTATGTATCTTCTCCTTCATGATTGCAGTTAGGTACACACAGGAGGACGATGTTATCTATGATAAGGAAGGATTCTTTATTTAATCTAAACATATCAGCATAATGGAGATTTTGTCTATAGGCTAAATTCTATTCTTTGGGAAAGAGACTGGGCTTTTCAAATGTAAGCAAATAACTATATTATAAATCAGGCTATAACAGGCATTATTTCTGGGGGAGAGGAAATCCCACTGAGATGATCATATCATTTTATAGTTACTGAACTATTAAAGCCTTAGAAGTTTTATGTTTGACATTAATGGTCAATAGTAAACAGGAAAAAAAAAGTATTGTGCTCTGAAATGTTGACAAGCATATTGATTACAGTCTTTACTTAGTAACATTTTCAAGTTAAGCTTGGCAGCAAAGATTTGTGAGTTTTACTGCAAGCCATCATATTTGCCGTTATAGAAGTGCACAAGCAAAAAACATTAAAGTTGGAAGTATATGCAGAATCTTAGTTTTGTTTATTCTCTCAAAATAAAATGAAACCCTCAGACATTATTCTAGATGATCAAGTTTTAATAATATCCTTCCTTGAAATATTCAGAAAATTAGGTTAAAATTGTTTTGGGGTGCCTGAATTTATTAGATTGTTGCTTTAATTCTTCATTCACAAAAACCTATTTTAAACAAAAAAAATAATGTAGAAAGTTTTTGTAAATTGATTATGAATTTTGTGTGAATGAGCAATATTCTGAAGATTGACTCTATTCAGTAAAACCTTCCTATTTTAAGCCTGTAAAGAAACTGTTTAGGGACAATAAATAGATAATATATAAAGTCATAAGCATCATTCTTTGGTGCAAATGGAAACGTAAAATTCTAGTTATAATCCTTTGTTAATTTTTTCAACAGTCATTGTTTGAATACTTATTTGTTGCTAAACTTTCCAATTAATGTAGTTTTAATAAGAAACATGCAGACCACATCTATTATATATATCTAGAAATATACCTTGGTGACTAATTATTATCCATCAACTGTTATAGAGGTCCATTAATAATTTTCAAAACAGGATGGTGTCAGTAATATGGGAAATGCTTTTGGAATTCTGATAGTACTTATTTCTGATTCAGAAATCTTACAAAACTTATGAAATTGATTAATACCATTTTATATAAAAGTAAATTATAGTCTAAAAGAATTTCCTCACAGATTTAGAAAATAAATATTTGGTAATACTAATTCGTAAATGCAATAATATATTTATCTATTTTCAATTGCTCCAATGACACAGAAGCAAAATTGTCAATATTCACACATGTTACACACTAGTGTGAAGACACCACATATGATGACTATATTTGATCATCTTTGGGATGGAAAGGAAGCTCCAACATCAAACCTGATGACTACAGCATTTAGGAACAGGAAAAAAAAAAAAAAAGCTCAGTTCACACTTTAGGAAGCTGAGTTAGTATTTTGTTTTTTTCCCCCAAAGCATACACCTGCTTTTATAAGGAAGAACCAACCATGTGAATGAGAACTGGAGTCAAGGTTAAAATAATTTTTCCCAGGAGAGTAGAGTGCATCTGAGAGAAGCAGAGGCTTAGCTCAGAGGAGCATTAATAACCAGAGGCAGCACCTCCCCTGAAAAACATTAGAGCCTCTTGGACATATGTTTGAAATTCAACCTCCCAAGTCATCCTGTGACTGTAGGGATAGGTGACAATGTCCCACTATCTGAAGAGGGAAAATACAGCACAGACCATTTAAAAAAAAAAATCACTTTAGAAAATAATACAAAATAGGTAAAGTATTCTAACTGTCAAGAAACCTTTGCAGATGATTGAAGCAAAGCTTTGTCTTTCCAATTATTGTTTGCCCTTCAGCTGACATACATGCCGAGTTGCATCAATAGGATTACAACGGAAACAGAGTCATCTCCAGGTTTCCTCTGTTTGGATCCCTTGATCTTGTTTAAAGAAACAGGCTCGGGGAATGCACAGAAAACAAACTTTCCCCGTGGAAGTTCCGAGGTCTCCCCCCCCTTCTCCCACCCTCACAAACCTGTCTAGTTTCAGCCATGGCACCGGACAGAAAGGTCATGGTCATGTTGCACCACTTCACTTGTTGAACTGCGCGAAGGCAAGCGCTTGACCACAGTAACTTAGTGAACCACCTTGCTCTTAAATTACCCCCAAGATTTCTTGCCGGTTCGAAGGCAATGTCTTACCTGCATGTGTCCCTGGTACATTCTGCTTGGGCTTCTTCAGGGCTCCCTGAGGCCGCCGGATGCTCTCCCCGTGTTTACTTGCACACCAACGGAGGCGAGAAGGCGGCGCGCACCGTGGTCAGGCGTGCCCCAGGGCCGGGGCGGGGAGGCTCCGGGCAGCCCCGCCGCTCTGCGGGCTGCCGGGAACTGTTCTCCGCTCGGGGTGCTGAAGGCGGACACCGGGGAGCGCGCGGAGGAGCCGAGGAGCCCCGGCGGCCACGCTCTCCCGCAGGCGCAGGTCCTGCTCCGCCGGGCGCCTCTAAAACTCCCCGCTTCTCCACCCAACTCTTTCTCGCTTCCTGACGGGCTGCCTCATGCCTCTCTCACTATCTTCGTCGCTAACCCCCTCCTTCCTCCCTACCCTGACGTGAGCGCCCACACCAGCCGCCGCCGCAGCTGCCGAGCCGGGCGCGCGCCGCCCTCCCGGCCGCGTCCCTGCCGAGAGGCCGCGGGCCCGGCGCGCGCGCGCGTCCCCGGCGGACCCGGGAGCGGCCCGGAGGCGGTGCGCGCTCGCGGCGGCAAAGTGCCCGCGGGCGGGGGTCGCGCAGGGCGTGCAGGTGCAGGTGCGGCCGCGGCCGCCACGGAGATGCCCGCAGCGGCCGGTCAGAGGCGAGAAAAGTGGGAGGAAAACGCTCGGTCTCTCCGGGGGCCATCGATACCGCCTGAGCCTGGCATCCTACAGACATAAGAGGCGGAGCGTGGGGGCTTCCGAAGAGTTTACTTCTGATGCAGTTCTCACAAGTTACCTCCGTGCCATTCCGTGAACAAAGACTCCCCACTCACCCCACCCTCCATTCATTGCTGAGCGTTGCATTTAAAATCCCCAAACCCCAGGCCTTCCATGATTTTTCTCCGTAGCACTTAACATCATCTAGCATCCTGTATGTTTTACGTATTTCATTTATTGTCTGTCTCTATATAGGCAACGTTATTTCCACGAGCCCAGGGATATTTGGGGAGAGGAGTGTATCTGATTTTGCACGGATGTATCAGAATAATATTGTACCTCCTGCCACAGGGTGGGTCCTCTAAAAATATTTGTTGAATGAATAGGTCGTTACTATAGAATATATAGGTAGAGTGCATTTAGATATGTCCCAAGTTAAAGAGACTGGATAGGGGGATCCCTGGGTGGCTCAGCGGTTTAGCCCCTGCCTTTGGCCCAGGGCGTGATCCTGGAGTCCCGGGATCGATCGAGTCCCACATGTCGGGCTCCCTGCATGGAGCCCGCTTCTCCCTCTGCCTGTGTCTCTGCTTCTCTCTCTCTCTCTGTGTCTTTCATGAATAAATAAATAAAATCTTTTAAAAAAAATAGAGACTGGATAGTTCCATAGTCTTCACGTTATCAATGTGTATACATATACACACACCATGTGCTGGCATAAATGTATATGATTACATAGCTTTGTTGGTAATAAGATCTCCATTTCACTACAACATGCCCTCCAAGGCATATACAGCATGATACAATCCCCCCAATAGTGCGTATAGCATGATATACATTTCAAAAAGTTAAAAAAGTATATCAGCTCCCTAGGAACATAAATATATAACATATATAACAATATAATAAGGAAAGCAGTAGGAGAATGAATATAGTATCCAGAATGTTGGTAATATTGGGTGAAGAGAGGCAGGGAAAGAGATGGGGAAGCATTTTACATGAAGGTTAATTGTCAATGTCTTAGCTATTAGGTTGGCTGGTGATTTGAGGATATGTATTATTACTCTATAAAAATTGCTATATGACTAAATAAAACAGAACTATGCATGGACTAGTGAGGAAAGGGTGAAATGACTCAAAGAAATGATTAATCTAATTCAGTACATCCGTGGTCCTAAAACAATGGACTGACCATCCAACCAACCAACCACAAAATGAGTAAGACTTACAAAGGCAGGAGATATGGATTCCTATTAGATTTCACCAGTAGTTAACCTTGGAAAATTTCCTTTGCCTTCTTTAGATTTCAGCTTCTCCACATCCAAACCTTGCATAATAAATTCATTGTTTTATCCTGAAAATTGAGATATGTTCATAGAAAAACTGTAAGGTACCACCCATTTTTGTTTTATTGTCCTTTATAGGGCAGAGCACTGGAATAGGAGTCAGCAGGCAGAAGTGGTAATTCCATCTTACTACCTCACTGATCTTTTGAACAAGTCTACTAATTTTCTATTTTCTCAGTTTTGACGTAAAGCAAATATCTGCTCAGCCTACTGCACAGGTCTGCTGAGGACTGAATGCATGCAAAGGGAGTTATAAATTATAAATCACCATATATGAGTATATACACAGACTTTTTTCCAGTCCAGAAAAGATGACTGATCATTCCATGAGATGTCAAGCTGTACAAATTTAAAAGAGGGGGAATGTTTATTGTGAAATGCTAGCATATTGGTATGAAAATCTTGGGGGAAATTCTACTGTTTGATTTGAAAGTGCTAGAATTCTATGAAGCGACAGTGGGGCCGAACTTTTCCAATCCATAATAAGCTTTCCATTATCTAATGGCAGATTCAAGGAGCCATCAACCATAAAAGCATTTGGACCAGCATGGCCACTATCTAGAGCTGAAGATAAAATTCAATTTATCATTTTTAAAACTTAAGTAACTCATTTAGTTGCTCCCTACATTCAGAAAATCCCAGGAATGAAAGTGCATCTGTGAAGACACCCCTGTCTTCATCTTTATTTATTAAGAACTTAGTACATGGGAGTGCTGTGCCAAGTGCTGAAATACGTTGTTGAATAATACAAGTGTGGTCTCTATCTTCATTGAACCCATAGTCCAGCTTCTGGACAGGAGAACATTTGACCACCCTAGAAAGATAAATTTATCTAGACCTTTCATAAACAAACAAACAAACAAACCTTTACAGAGATTCCACAATTTCCCATTTCCCCTATTTAAAAGTTTATATCTAACCTCTTCTAGTCAAACATTTCCCCTTCAGTTTTGAACTTTAATCTTTTCTATAGCACAAATACTTCCTTCAAAGCCTATAAATAAAAGCTTTGTGAGCAAAACACATTTGGCTGACTATTAATTCAAATGTCAGTATCTTAAGATACTTTTGATTCACAGAACCATCTAGCAATTTATACATCTCATTTGGCTAGACCAAAACCCGCCATCCAAATCTAGCATTTTAGCTCAAGTAATATGATGTTTTGTTGCAAAAAGAAACTTTTCATGTGCAAATAGATAGACGAATAGAAAAATCCATAGGATAAAACAGGTATGAACTGTATTCTGGTGAACCCTAAGGATTTTATGATACACATAACAAAAGGCTGAACCATAATATATTTGTAGAAATCTTTTTTGAAAATTGCAAATAGGTTGTTTTTAAAAGAGCTTAAAAGGAGAAAATGTGCATAACTTTCTCTATTATCTAACTTCAGTAATGGTGAGAAAGCATCTCTTTGTGTAATTTCTGTTCTCCCCAGGAAATCATTAAGGTAAACTGGCATAAGGCAAACAAATCAGAGATGCAGTAGTTTGGAAAAGGTGTGGTTCTTTTGGAACAAAGGCAAGTGGCAAGAGCTATGTGTCTGCTTCTCTGATACTAGAATAAAAATGGAAAACACTGCCAAACATCTAAATGCTTTATTTGACCCTTCACAGTATTTTCTAGTTTTCATATTACAGATTGGAATCATGGGAAAAACAACTTTGAAGATGAATTGGTAATATGTGTCAAACTCAAACAATTACATCTATTATAGGGGAAGCAAAAGAAGAGTCTCTGTATACACCGTGCAAGGACTGGCTATTAACGAATCTTTTCTAACCAGACCTGCACACAGGTACACAATTCATTGGCAGTAATATGACCATCAGTAACAGTCTGACTTATAAGTGGCTGGATTATGATTGCCCAGGTAAACTCAAAATAATTCATATTATTAAGGCATCTGAGGAAAAGTAAGATAATCCATAGCTCATTCCTTTCACATTGTTGTTTTGCAACCTAAAATGGGCATGACTTAATACCAGATACTGGTTTCAGAAAATATTTCTCATTTTAAGTGTAAAGACCCTTCATAATCAAAGTGTGATCTACTGACCAGCAGCATCAGTGTCCTGGGAGCTTATTAGAAATGCTGACTCTCAGGTCCCATCCATGACTTACGGAATCAGAATCCACATTTTATTTTATTTATTTTATTTATTTTATTTTTTTATTTTTAGAATCCACATTTTAACAAGATCCTGAAGAGCTTTGTATTACCATCAAATTTGAGCAACAACTGTTGCCTAGATGGTTTATTTATTCATGTAAATATGTGGCAAAGCTAGCTCTTGCCTTTTGCAATGATAGCACATGAGCAACATCTGTACCAAGAGAAAAGCGCAATGCATATTCCCTTCTATTTATAAGATAATCTTACTGTATTTTGAGTGGCCAGAGGACGTGATGTAAAATCACAACACACTTAGTTTTCTTACAGCAAGAAATGTGCTAATACTGCTTTCAGGTTTAATTATTATAATTAAACTAAAGAGTTGAGCAGAGGCAAAATATATTTTGTATTGATCAAGTTAAATTTTATTAACAAATGAATCCTCCTGCATTTTAAATGGTTATTGAAAATTCAGGATTTATTAAATCTCTTAAAAAGCTGAGTAATAATGATGATGTCAGTATGTTGTAGATTTTAAAACATCATTAATAATAGTCTTTTGGTGGTGATTCAACCATTCTTTTATAATCCATACAATTCAAACCCTGCTGCTCAAAGATGGTGTAGGAGAGAACAAAAGTAAAAAAAACTGTAGACCCAAATTAAAATGACTAATTGGTTTTTATTGCTCAATCAGAGGGAGGAACATTTTGTTAAAGTTTGCCCACTTGCCCTTTTTGTGTCTTTGGCACACTGAATGGGATTAACTGGAGTTCAGGGTATTAGATCTAGAAAGAATTTTGGAAGCCCACACAGCAGACCCTAGTTGTCAGGGGAATTATGATTGAAGAAAAGTACATGGACTCTGGTGACTAGAAGATGGCAGCAATGTTCTTCTAAATGAATAAACAGGCTGAAGGCTTCAGAGTTAGGCCTCCTATTAAACTAATTTAGGAAATTACACTAAAATAATTTATATATATTTTTTCTTTATGACAATGTTCTTTCAGCAATCCAATATTGCTTTTAATATTAAATGTACCTTCTAGACTTTCTTAGTCTTGGTGAAAATATGTTTGCAA